TAGGACTGGCTATACCTTGAGCTATTTGAGGAGGTAAAGTTGTAGATGCTGTGAAAGACAGCTTGGGCATGCAGGGGTCAAATATAGTGTCCAGTGCCATTAGGGATGTCTGAGGATATCCCATCCCGTCCCGGGTGCATCAAAAGGGCATTGCTCTCCTGAGGTCCAGTGTTATCTCTACCACCTCCACAAGGATGTCTTCATACCCTTGAGCATCTCGACTGTCCCAAAACACAACAGAGATTGGTACCTTTACAGTCACAGAGATGAGCTCAGCAATGGGGCCCTCAATCACAGTGCAGCTGAAGAGAGATGTTCTGGTTGTAGGCATCTCATTGAAATTGTACCCTGGGGCTGCCATCCTTTACCAGAATAATTCCCAAAACCTGTAGTCGAAATTGTTCCACTCCACCCAATCGTTCCCTTGCTCACTTGCAGGCAAAAATGATGGGTATTTGGGAGTATGACTAAAAGGGGATCATTTGACTCCTGACTGCAATCCAGCCTTAATTACAAGAAAGCACTTTGGGATGCTTTGACTATGAAAAGCACTTAAGGACCATTAAGTTCTCATCTCTATTTACTCCAAAGTAGTAGCCAAGTATTTATTCCAGGGAAGTGTAATAGGTAATAGTTTCCTACACAGTCTATCTATCTCAGTGGAACAGATCATTTTATGTTATTCAAGCTGAAGGCAAAATTCTCCTGTAAGGTTTTACCCTGGTATTTGCCTTGTGTGGTCCCCAGAGAACTGGTCCCTAGACCATCTAGAGCCTTTCTGCCTCCTCAGCTGGACTGACCAGAATAGTTCTGTTCTCTGGTTACAAATATGTCCTCTTTGATGGGTTTCATGACATGTGATGGAGTCAGCCTCAAGCATTTTGGTCCCTCACTCAGCTTCCCTGGCCAAAATATAGGTACATCCATGGGTTTTTTTTGACCATTTACCTTCTGGAGATGGTTTCCCCCAGCTGTGGATGTCTGCACTAGGCCAGGCATGGAAGCAGAGCCAGGCCCCAGGGCATCCCCACCTCTCTTCCAGGCCCGAGATGGCCATTCAAGTCCTATTTTATTTTATTGATTTTATTTTGTTTTGTCTTTTATTTTTAATTTAATTTATTTTTATTCTGATACGCTGTCTCAGTGAGATACATGGTGTCTCTGCTCCCACAGAGGAGGCACGCATTGCCCAGCAGCAGTTTGGTCCCCTGAGAGGCTGGGAGGAGGCAGCTGCCCAGTAGATGGCAATACTGCCATTCACTCAGCAGCAGATTTAGAGGTATGAAACAAGCTGATGGAAACGTGTGGATTGAACAGCACTGAAAACCCCTAATGGCTGTGAAACAGAAAACTTAGTTCTCCCTATTAGATGCTAAAGTAGAGTCCCACTTTAGCCAGGCCTCTGTTAAAACGGGAATTTTAGTTTAGTGCAGGGAAATCGCTGAAGCTGGGAAACTTATGTTTATTCAGTGCACTTAGCATCACCTGTTTCCCCAGATGCTGAAGACTCACAGGTCCTCCAGAGATGATGACCACAGAGAGGCTCTAACATGGTGCAGAAATGAAACTGCTTTTAATTTGATGTGTAATTTGGATTGATTTGATGGAGAGGACACTTCCTTACAGTGCAATGAGGATTCCTGTGAAGTCGAACACCATTACTCTGAAGAATAAGGAATAAGAGCTGAACTTTGTTTTTCCCCCCATCCCACAGCATTGACAGACTAAAATGCAGATGGGCCACAGGAACATGTCAACTATTGCCAGTTCTGCAGTGCCTTTTTAATGGAAAATCCGAGCCAATCTCTAGGTCTGAGTCAAAGCCTCAGCACCTGCAAACTTCTGCTCAGTTCTGTGGAAGATGGACGTGCATGGGTGGAGAAAATGCCTGTCACAGTGACAGAGGTCTTGGATCCAGCAGGGATGTAGAGCACCAACTGCGATGCTTTTATTACCTTTGCACAAGGCCTAGGGGCAGCCTTACCCCCCTGCAGTGCCACGCTGCTTGGCCACCCAGTGCAAACCTGCCTTTTTCTTCTGTCAGCCAGACAGGCAGTGAGAAAAGGTATTTCGTCCCAACTGCATTCAAGCCCTTCTCATGCAGGATCTGTCCCTATGGAAATGTCCCCAGTGCTACGCAGAGCCAACACCCCTGCCCTCGCCTTGCCCTGGAGCTCCGTGGTTTGTGTATTCCCTGCCGGAGATAAAGTCCATCCTACTCATCACTTTATAGTCGTTCCTGCCGAGAACAGGGCTTGGGTGTCGCGTTCCCGCACTGCGCCAGCTCTGCAGGAGCCAAGCCTCGTGTCACAGCCTGTCCCGGTCCCTGTCCCTGCCTGCCATGGGTCATCAAATGACTCAGCCCTGTTCCGGAGGCTGCTCCCCCACCCGGAGGGAAATGCTTTCTAGTCTGGTGGCTACACGCATGGATCGGCGCATGCAGGCACCCGAAAATGAAACGAAAGCGGGCAATGAGTGATTCCGAGCCTCTGGGTGTAAACAAGCAGGGCGAGCAGCATGGGGGGAGAACAGAAAATGAATGAAAATAAAGGGGGTGATGAAGCCCTAAGCAAGGTGGGGAGTGCACAGATGGGTTTAATTGGGGTCAGTGAATCACTGATTCCTGGGGATGGGAAGGAGCACCACTGCCTGCTGTTGAACAGGGCATGAGTCCCGGCTCTGTGCCACTGGCTTGGGGCAGAAAGTCATAGAATTATGTAATCATAGAATTGTTTGGGTTGGGAGGGACCTTTAAGCTCATCCAGTTCCACCCCCCTGCCATGGGCAGGGACACCTTCCACTAGACCAGGTTGCTCAAAGCCACATCCAACCTGGTGCTGTCAGCTCTTCTCAACCCTGCCGCAGCCAGGGGACAAAACGAGGGTTACACCTGGTTTCACCCCTTTTAAGATGCAGCCCTATAAAATCAGAGGGTCCATGGCTTTAACATGAGCACCTTGCAGAGAGACAGTCCCCAGTCAGCCAGGGAAACTCCACCAGGGCTTCTCCTGTCTCTCCTTCCAAAGCAAACGTGAACTCCTCTGGCACAAGGAGCCTATGATCAACTCTGCTGCTTTCGCAAGGGGATGCCCATGACAAAGGCTGTTGATGGGATGCGGCACTGTCCCTTGGCGGGTGGCACGACCCCTCACCACGATGCCCTTTGCCAGGGCATGGTGCAAAGTCATCACCATAAGCCAAAATCCCACCAGTGCAGCAACTGTATGCTGGGGGTTCTTCCCCTCGCAATCAGGTGAGGGAATTACAGGCATAAACCCCATAAAAGAAACAATACCACAACCAAACACAGCCTTCTGGGTGGGAAAACTGGGGCCAGGCTTCACCAAGCAGCCATGGACAGGCCTCTTTGCAGTATTGCTGCTTTTATGGCCCAGCAAATAATTTGTAACAAATAGTTTATTCAATTAATTGAGCCTCTCTGCTCTGGGGCAGATGGCATCTTTTAAAAATGGATTCCCGATGGAAAACCAGACAGCAGCATTTGTGGTCCCATTTCCCTCGCTTTCAGGTCAATGCCAGTGGTTATGACTTATGCGTGTGCTGCCCGACACAAGCCCATGGAGTAGGTATGCATTTCCCCATCCAGGTTTGTGGGTTATATTCAGCCTTTCCTTTGCATCGTGGGCTGGCTCACGTCCTCACTCCCTTCTTGTTTCCCTGCTGTTGCCAACATGAAGTGTATTTTCTCTGCTTTTTCCCTGGGTTGCAGGATCAGGGTGATGCTTCTTTTCGGCTGCATCTTTCCAGGCCCCAGGGGTGCCACAAGAGATGGTTTATAGCCAGCAAGGGAACGGGGTTTCCAGGCTTTCTGAAGGGTTTCCCAAGATTTGTCCTGAATGTTTCTAGGTGGTGGGGATGCTTCCATGACTGTTGTCTTTTCAGTCGTCCTATAGAGAGGGACAGCCACCATTCACAAGCCAAACAAGCTCAGGAAACAACCCAGCCAGACCCCAGTCCTATGCACTGATTTTCACCTTTTCTAAAGGGAATAAGGAAAAAAGTACATTTTGTCACACAAGTGCCACTGGTGGAACAGGAATTGACTTGAACAGGACAATTGTCACATGCCACTGCAAGCTGATCTGCTGGGGACATTGCTGTTGAGCAGCCAGGAGCACCCTGGGAACTTCAGGAGCTGCTCTCCAGGCCATGGATCTTGCTCTGCCAAGGTGTTGCATCATATTTTTGCCCTCAATAAAGCAAATTGCCGAAAGGTCCCTTGTAGTCCCAGCCTTGGTGCAAACTGCTCTTGCCAGCCCAGCCTCCCGCCCAGCCAAAATGTGCTCTAACTTAGAACGGGGCTGGCACTGCATGCTCTTCTGCAATGAAACCCATCTCTGGGTGAACGCAGAGGGACTTTGGAGCACCCCTTGTGCATCTCCAGCTGCCCCAGGAGCATCTCTTGTGTGACCTCCCAGGGCTCTGGTAGTGTTCCCGCTACATTTCAGTGTTCAGGAGACATCAGTGCTGTGATGGTCGGGGGGACACCTTGGAGAATACCTGGGAAGTGCCCCCTGTTTGCATACTCAGCAGCCATGCATGAAGGAGGGCTCTGCAGAGATCAATGGTCCTTGGCTCCATGCCTCCTCCAGAGACGGTGTCCCCTTTGCTCTGACCTTAGGGTTGATTTCTCATTGACAGGCCCTATGCTGGTGCTCAGCTTTAGAGGCTCCCCACATGCCTTTCCCCCATGCAAGGGCATGGGGACGCTCTTCCCTGGGCTGCTTCTGAGGGGCTCAGGAAAGAATGGGCATCCCAAAGCTCAGGAGAAGCATCTTGGAGGTCACCAGGCAGCCCTAGTAGGATGCTCCCATCTCAACACTTGGGGTGGGAACCCCAGAGCACCCATTGGCTTCAAAAGCACTTGAAAAAGCAAAGGAACAAACAAAAAAGAGACAACTGCAACACAGCATACACACACTCATCATCCACATTTTTCAGCCACAGTGAAGGATAAACAGGGTGAAGATGCTGCCGTATTCAAACAAAATTCTTTTATTGAAAGTGTAATGGAAATTTCTTCATATTGCTTTGATGAAATGAGAGACAGCAGCTGTAGACAAATATGCTTTTTTTTATAAACAAATGCAAATGAATAAGGTAAAAATAAAGCATTTTTTTTTAACTTGTACCTTTAAGCAACATAATCACAATATATACACAAAGAAAGCTAAAATAAAGCTATGTTGAAACCAAAGCGTTTCAATCAATACATTAGATAATTACAGATTGTGTCAATAAATACCCAGTTTTTAAACTGTTTAACAGGCAACTTTTTACACAGATACCAAGAAGGAAAAAAAAAATATATTTACAATTCAGTGCCCTGGGGAAAGGAAAAGATTAAAAAAATCTTTTTTTTTTTTTCCTTAATTCTTTTGGCACCAACACAAATAAAAAGAATAAATTACAGAAAAAAAAGAATCCACAAAGGCAGGAGTCTATCCCAGTCATTCATTAAAAAAAGTGTGTGTGTGTGTATATATATATAAAATATATGTATATATTTTATATATATAAATATATATATATGCAGAGAAACCTAGGAATGTTATAAAATATTAGTGCCAATAAATACAGAATGGTACCAGACTTTCAACTGTCAGTATTTTTGATGCAGTCTGAAGGATAGAAACTACCACCTAGGAGATAACTGAATGGGATTTTTCAGTCTAAAGAAAGGACAACAACAAAAAATATTAACAATAATAATAATAACAATAATTATATATATATATATCCAGGAAATCCTCCATCTGCCAGTAGTATTCCTACAGTCACCCTCCTGCCCGGCGGGGAGGTCTCCGGGAGTGATGCTTTGCAGGAGGATGTGGCAGCGAGCACAGGGCGAGCACCCACTCACAGCCACAGCAGGTCAGCTCCACTTCCAAGTTGACCGGCTCAATACCAGAGAAATGTACAATTAAATAGTAATAATAATGATTAAAAACACCCAAGCAACCCAGCCTTCACCATATTCATACGCCAGAAGTTCCCTAAATTGCTGGCAGGAATAGCAGGTACCCAAGAGCATCACCATCCCTGCTGTCGGGGATATAAACACTTCAGACAATGGAAAAATCCTCAAATCCATATTTTGGGGTTTTCCACCTGTCTGGGTGTCTCTGCACCTGCAGGAGCTTCCAAAACCAGGACAGCCCGCCATCCCACTCCCACAGCAGCAGGGACGGGACACCAAAGCTGCCACCTCCCTCAGTACCGGTAGTGCCAGGGATCATTCCCACCACCAAATCTCACATTTGCCAAGATGGGATTTAAAGCTGGTAGGTTTAAAAGCCATTGCTGGTTTTTTAACATACCACTGGTGCAGGCACTTAGTGTCTCACTGACGTACAAGTTTTATGTCCAGTTACATCTCATGGCCAAATAGTGTCATGTTCTCAAACTGACTTAAATAACAAGAGGGCCTCTAATATTCTTCCTAAACGTGGTAATCTCTATAAACCAAAAGCCTTCAAGGTTTTCAAGCTTTCTTTTCAGCTGTTTTTCTTTCTTTTCTGTAAAACCGTACTCAAAAGATAAATAACCTAATAACCTTCATATCCACCTCTTTTACTCGATTTACCTGATTTACCTATAGAAAAAATATATAGTATAAATAGTCTGACCCACTAGATTTTGGAGCTGTGATACCTTTGATGTTGAGGAGCACTCGCTGAGGAGCATGAGCACAGTGTTGCTGTTGTTGGCTTTGCTCTCCCAAAGACCCCCTGGGGCCGCAAAGGTCCTTCTAGTTACATCCCCACCCTTGCTAACAGTTCCTCTGCATATTCAGGCACCATAATTGATCAGGAAAGATCTCATGGCCAAATCCTTAAGAGATTAAATAAATTATTAAATAATTTATAAGAAAGATTTGGGTTGGTTTTGTTTGTTTAGAGCTAGTTCATGCTATTTCTTGAATAGTTGAAGGTTTTGTGTGTTGTGATCTCCATCACAATATTATGGAGATCAGACACCATCATCACGTCTACCGATAGAAACCAAAGGATGTTGAACAAACATTTGTCCCATCCCTCCCAGGCTTGCATTTGGCTCTTTTGGAAATGTGAGGTGAAGACCAAACAGCTAACATCTTTCAGACTCAGAAAATCCATGGTCATCTATAGGATGGGTGCTGCTGAAGACATTATTGCCCTTCCAGGTCACTGACAAACCACAGTGCTATTCATGTACTACAGGTAGAAAATAAATAAATACAGATATATTATGCAAAAAAACCATGATTGTACACATAATACATCTGAGGTATTCCCAATTTAAATAAGGTTCCATGCTAGTTCAAGCTTCGGTGCCTAGTTAAATTCTGGAATTTGCAATAAATAGATGAAGAATGATTATGTATATAAGTGTATGGATCTCTTCTGTAAACCTTGTCCGATTTAAACGCAAGAGCCTGCTGGGCTAACTCTTACGCAAACCACAATTTTCACAATAAATACAGCTTCAAAAAGTTGCCTTAAGAAGTTCCTGCAACACTGAGACATTTCTAGAAGGGGCTGTGTGTACGACTGGCAATGTTAGCGAGGAGTATTTCTCAACAGGTCTTTTCATACAAAACACAAGGAAACTCATACGTGAAAGCCTTTTTCCCTCCCTCCCTCCCCACCCCACCCCATCATGAAAGTTTACAAATTCTTGCACAAACAGTGAGAGAACTGATTGTAGCTGCAGTATGTCAAAACGTCCACGTTCTACAAAGACCAAAAATAGTTTGTTTGCTTAGAAAGTCCTTTTCTGTTTGATTTGTTTTCTCCTTAATTTTGAGTAACGCATCATCCTTTTGGTGCAAGTCTGCCCACTTCGGTTTTCCTTCAGGCTGTTCCTTGCTGCTCGAGCCACACGGGCGTTTCACACTTTCACCGTCTCCATCAGTGATGACTTGATGGCATCCTCCAAAAGTTGATTGTCTGTGAAAGGGGCTGGGGTTTCGGGGACAGATTCGGACAAACCGATAAGGGACTCCAAGAAACAGGAGCCCTGGTCTCCGGCTTGTGGGAAACCTGGAAAATTAGGCAACTGAAACTGTAACGCTGAGAAGTTATCAAGGTTCTCGTACTCCTTCAAGGAGTTGTAAAGGGGTCCCAAGTTATAGTCTGAGAAGGACTGGAAGAAATCCAAGGAGTCTGAGGAAAGGCTGAGGTCAGCGTAGCTCTTGGAGCAGGGCTCAGCTGGGGATGAGGTGCAGCAGGACAGTCCATCGCACCGCGCATGGGCAGCATCCTCCAGCAAACCACCACTGTCCTGGTTGGCGTTCTCATCCAGGCACTCAGAGAGGTGGGGCAAGTGGCCAGGGATAGGCTTAGGCTCATCGGCATGGTCCTCGATGAAGAAATCAGTGGGGTGGAAGCAGCTCAGGTCATCATGACCATGGCCACCCTCTTCCTCGGCATCCGAGTCGTTGAAGTGGAGGATGCGTGCCAAGCCATCGTCATCCACATCCGACTGGGATTTGTCAGAGGGGAGGCTCTCGTAGGGCTCCTCCAGGTCCTCACTGGGGTGGGAGGAGATGGAGGAATCTGTCATGTCACTGCTGCAGCTGTTCTCCCCCAAGGCCTCCAGGTCAGGGCTGAACTGGAAGGCGGGTGCCAGCGGCACCGCACGCTCCTCCAACGAGCCCTTTGCTGTTGCACATCCCAACTGTGGGAGCCGTTCCCAAAAGGGGGGCTCGGCCTCTGCCACCTTCTCACTGCTCTGCTGCTGCTTCTCCAGCTCCAGCTTCATGATGGTGTGGATGAAGTGGGTCTGCACGCGGGCCTGGTTGAACTCGATCCTGCCCTCAGTGTTGCCGCAGCCATCCTTGGTGCAGCCACAGGGGAAGGAGGTGTGATCCATCTGGCACAGGGAGAAGCAGAGGTGGAGGGTTAGGACCAAACCTGGCAGCACAGAATTGAAACCACCCACAACTCACCCACCTTGAGGAACCAAGTAACAGGTGAGAGATTTAAAAGCAGGCTACAAAACCAAAATAAATAAAAAAGGCACCCTGTTCTTTTGAAGGGTTGTCATAAAAAAGTCGGGTTTCAGTAAAACTGAAGTTAAAAGATTTCAAAAAACCAAAATATAATGCTCCAAAAGAAGACATAAAGGGGCAAACGTGAGTTTTTTATATATTGCATCATGGTATTTAATACATGATCCATATCACGCACTTCAGCCACTCGCCGAGATAAGGACAAATTGCCCAACAGGCATCTGCAGCACCTTTATGTCCCTGTTAGCAGCAGCCGCTAGAGGGGGGCTGTGTCCCACTCATGGAGCACCCTTCCCCCTGCGTGCACCCACCTGCCTGTGCACAACCACTCTACACCAGCCCCAGGGTGCAATCACAGCACCAAGGGAGCCAGTGGCACCCTGAGCACGGGATATGGCTCCCCAGGCACAGCTGGGCAGGCATCCATAACAAATAACATGAAAGATATAATAAGCTAATGGAATACAGAGGTGGCCTGCACAGCTAGCTGTGGGCTGACACTCAGCTGGCACTCCCACGTTTGCCTGCACACGCTGGGAGTTGTGACACACTAAGGGAAATAAAACTAAAAATAAAAGCAGGGGGAGGAGGAGAAATCACAGCCTCGCGTGAGGAGCAAGAAGCTTTCATTTGCAAAGACATTCCCACGTGGCCAATCTCCAACAGGAGACCAAGCAGGTACAATCGTTGTGGGGACAGAACGGGCGGGTGCATTCACACTGCAGACTTGGGCTGCAGCAGCAGCATGGGGATGGCTGCACGTGTGATTTGGGAATCAGATGCTTTGCAGCCCGGGAAGCATCTCCAAGAGCTTTTCTTGCCTGCTTTGCTCTGAGCACAGATGGGAACAGATGTATTTTACAGGCTGTCCTAAACGTATCCTGCTTGCTCCAACCCTTCCTGCTACAACATAGACGTCAGCTGGAGCCACAGCTTTTCCCCCATGCCCAGAGGCGAGGGCAGTACCTGACATTTAATGCCTGCCAAGCTGCAGCTGCAGGTCTCTGGGTCGCAGACCTCCCGGCAGTCGCAGCCGCAGTCCTCCCGGGACAGGCGGATGTTGTGCAGCTCCCGCTTCTCTTCCTTGTCGATCTTCTTCACCCCCACGGCTTTCAGCAGCGCACGTCTCTTCTTGGCAGGGTAGGGCTGGAGGAAGAAGCCGTCCTCCAGGTCCACGTTGCTGACGTCGATGTCGTCGTCAGAGATGTCTTCAATAGTGAGCTGGTTGGCCTCCTCTGACTCCTTCGTGCCATTCATGGTTAGCTAAGGGCAAAAAAAATGGGCAAAGCATTAGAGATGTGTTGGGGACAAAGAGCCATCAGCACCCCCAGGTCAGGAGAAACAAGAAAGGAAATATCTGCCCCCCATGCTGGTGGATGACAGGACCAACATCTGTGTCAGAGTCCCCAAAGACTTGACAGACACCTGACACACAGAGTTCAGGTCTTTTCCATCACTTTTCAAAGGTGGAGAACTGAGCTGAAAACCCCACACAGGAGTCTGTGTTTTTCTGGGACCCAAACAGGGTTAAGAACCAATGCCCCCAGGTCTCAGAGAGGCTCCTGTGAGAAAGACTGGCCATTAACTAATGACATCCACCAGCTCCTCATCAACCCAGCCCCATGTTCCTATACTCACTTTCCATTTCAATGCCTCCAACTTCTCCTCTTTCAATTTCTCTTCCAGTTTCACCCGACGAACGTTTTCCTGTTCCTTTGAAAACTCCGCTAGCGTGAATTGCCGGGAGGAGCTGTGTTTGCTCACCATCCCCAGGGTACAGCCCCCGCGACTAGGCACGCTTGTGAACCCCTGGCAGCGTGGGAAGTAAAACACAGTGACCCGGTCAAACTCCACATTGTTCTTCTTTAGTCGCTTGGATTTCTTCAGGATAGACGTGGCTAAAAATGGGAGAAGAAGGAAACAGCACAAAGTCAGTACTGCCATCCTGCAGGCAGGATAGAAATACAACAAACAGGCTGTAAATACTACAAACAGGCAGGATGTGCAATTACTCTCTCAAAAGAGACATGATGGGACAAGGTTACAACATCGCTTGTTGGCTTCTGGTGTTTTAGGATCTAATACTTCAAGGGTCAGATGAGGCTGGAGAGGAATCTAAGCCAAATCCTGATGTGCATTGGAGTCACCAATCAGATTCACCCTAAGAACCGGCTGCTGCTTCTCCTTACCCGACTTCCTCCAGGAAACATACATTTGCTTATTCTTCACATGCAGCACAGCATAACAAACAAGTAACAAACTATCCAACAAGCACCCTGCCTCATATTTAAGAAGCTTGTGTCTGCCAGGACACTGGCACTCCAGTGCTGCATGGCTCCAGCTCTTGTGGCACGGCAGAAAATAGCCAAAACGTCTGTTTTTCTGATACTTCCTTTCACCATCCACTGGGAGGAACTATGAATCTATAGTTTATTCTCAAGAGACTCATTTAATAGCAGCTGCAAAGATGTTAATCTTTATGCAGGTGATCCCAGGGTAAACATGGCAATACATGACGCTGGTTTATCTTAAACTGCTGAAACACGCTACACACCATTTAAAGCGGAGCCTCTCCAGAGATACCTGGTTCTGCACATTTGCACATGCAAACGTAGCAGATGAAGCAGGACTAATTAACCAGGGTAGTTCCAGAGTCAATGAGATTCCACGAATGTAGCTGGCCATGGAAAGCGAAGTGAAATGTGGTGGTAGGTTATAGAGCTGCCTTTTCTGCTGCATGAGCATGTCAGGGACAAAAGCAGCTACACAGAAATTCAATGGTGCGGTTTTTTGGTCCTGTTCTCTCCTGGTGCACAGATGCCTTGGTTGCATAAAATAAGCCAGAAAGGCTTGGTGACTCCCACAGAGCTGGATCTGAGCCCTCTTTGGGTGGCAGAGTGGGAGGCAGTCCTATGTGGGGAGCTAACCGAAAGGGCTGCTGAAAACCCTAGGGGCTTGGCTGGTTTGGCTGGCCCTGAAGGCTTGGAAAGTGTGAGACCGGACAGTTAGCTGCACCCATGTTTCACAAGTCTCACTTGCCAAACATACAGCATTTCAGTTTCACATTAAAAAAACACCAAGTGTTCACCCAGCTGCATCAGCAGCTTCTGCTGAAGAGCTGGGGGTTTCACACTGCTCCCTGCAGTCACTTTGATGGTATCTTTGCACTGTGTGTTGCATTTTCGTAATAACCTTGACTCAATCTTCTAAAACATTAGCTCTTTATCAAAAGGCACGTTAACCACCGCGATCATCTATCAGCTGAGCTGCTGCACTTTGGCATTTGCTTCTCTCTCCCTGCACCCCTCCTCCAAAATTGTTTTCCCATTCCTGACCCTTTTCCAATTGAGCCAGAGAATACAAAAAGTTCATTGTTTTGTCACAAAACCTGGGAAGACAAGCAAGAATGAGACTCTTTATTATTACAAGACTTCTAAAGCCTTTTCAGACTGCTGTGTGTTTGTGTATGTCTGCTAAGTGGACCTTAACTGCTACATACAGTGGGTGTTCAGTATAATTTACTAGGTTGGACTATTTCTTCTCTGTGAAGATGTTCCCCTATTTTATCTTTTGTTTTTCCCTTCACATGGCAGATAAAGAATTTTACGACCTTGCCTTCTGTGTGCTTTCCTAAAAGCTCTCAAAACTGATACTGCTGGGAAAACAAAATAGCATTTATCTGTACTAACAGCGGAGGCAATGTCAAACGTGTCATGTTCTTTGGCAAAGTACCCAACTTACATAGGAAACGAGTTCTGAAATGGTAATTGCACCACTGGTTAATCATTTTTTAAAACCAGTGTTATGGGCCTTTGCTGTCTGTTTGGGTTTTGGCTATGAAATAGCTTAACAGGGGATTAAGGGATGGTGGGATTGGTCCACAGCACTGGCTTGGAGGCGCCTGCGTGCCTGTGCACACCCAGGTCCTTGGGTTTATATTCCTGGAAATTTGGACCTCAGCAAAAGCACTGTAAAGAATGATAAATGCTGGGAGGAAGGGCTAAGGAAGACTACCCTGAGGATGCTGGCCCATTACAAAACCAAGACGAACTGGCGTAATGACAGGGAGCTGGCTGCTTCCACTCCTAAAGGTGTGCTCCAGTGGGGTCTCTGCGTGGTGATAACCCACCATCCTGCTACAGAAAAAAAACATAGAGGAAAGTCTGATCACAGGGAAGTGGCTGATGGAGATACTCACGGGTGAAGCTGGGCGTTAAGGCAGAGCTAGGCTTGGGCTCTCCGCGGGAGCTCTCCTCGTCAGTCTCCCAGCCTGAAGACGCTGAAGAGGAGAGGGGGGAGCAGGAGGAGGAGGAGCAGTAGGTACTGTCATCCCCCAGCTCTTCATACTTCCTTTTCAATACCCCGCTCATGGTGACGCCGTACTTTTCATATAACTGGGAAACAAAGGAGAAACGCAAATTAAAGCAAGGGAAACACTGGCAGTTTCTGGTGATGAGCAGGATGGCTTTAACCCCCAGCAAGGCACCTCCCACCAGGTCTATCTGGCCGTGCAGGGGTGATTCCCAAAACGGGCTCCCTAGGAAAACCACACCTTGCTGTGCACACTTGCTGAACCTCGCTCCCTTTTTATGATGCTGCAAAAAAGAAGATTACTATTGCACACAACAAACTGTCCAGAAACCAATTCAATCAACACAAATGTTATCAAAGAGTAAGTATTACGTTGTGCTTACTAATTCTTTTATGTTAAATCCTCACCCAGATCGCTTTCTATGCAGTTACAGCTTTAACGTTTTGCTAATTACAAAAATAAGCCAGTTTGCAGAGAACAATCTGTTGGCATGATTTACTTGCTACAGCCCCCTGGGGAAACAGACTTATTAAATGAAGCACTGAAATACAAATATATCAACTGTGAAGAACAGCTCTTCTCCTCTTAGTGCCTTTCATAGTCAGTCCTCCATTCAATAAGCTATTCTTGTTTAGGCTGGGTTATGTATCAAGCATAGTAGCAATTAAAAACAACGCAGCTAATTAAAAACAAAGGAGCTCTGTACTTGCCTAGATTCCTAAATTTCCCGCATGCTTTTCCCCTGTTCATCTTAAAGAAAAAAAAAAAAAACAAAACACAAACAACCCAAGAAAAATAAAAACCCACCAAACAACGAAAAACTTTGTTGCATCTTTAACCTTTTGCTTTTATAGTTTGTGGGGTTTTGTCTCTTGAAATTGCACAAAAGCTGCACACTTTGCCTACAATGGGCTAACATAACAGAGCCCACCTAACCTGGGATGCTCTTGCCTAGGTAATGGACTGTTTCTCCTTTTAGATGCTGGCAACAGTATACCAGATGCTCCTGCTTCAGCATAAGTCACTGCTAGCTTATTTTGAAGCTATACCCAAAGCTGAGAACCAGGCTGCTGCTGGACGAGCGACTTACTTTGAACCTAATCCCACCAGGCTGTAAGGCACAACCACAGTGGGAGAGATGCAGCCCTAGCCCAGAAACCTCCTCCTGCAAGAGGGGAGAGCCCCAGTGACATGGGATGCTAGCAGCCACCTCAGCAATAAAACCATAGGTAATTACACAAACCCTAAAGCGTCACTAACATTCTGATGATATGGGGATAGACACAAACATCCCAGGGACAGGAACAGTGCAGATACGGGGTACCAAACACCTGGTCCCCATCCTCTCCTGCCAGCTGAAACCCCTCCACCAGCCAAATTTCTTCTAACTGTAGCACTTTCTCACCCTCTTTTGCACGTCTGAAGTTAATTTCAGTCTCTGAAAAAAAAGAGAAGAAAGAAAGGAAAAGGGAAAAGGGAAAAAGGAAAAGGGAAAAAGGAAAAAACCCCAACAAAACACTAACCCCGCCCTCCCGACAGCTCTGAACAGACAGCACAGAAACCCCACCAGCTTCAAAACCCCCCAACCACGGGACTCTCAGTATCTCCATAGCGTCACACAGTAACATGTAGCAGGATGGGAGCACACACTGTGCCTTCAAAGCCCTGTGCCAGCCCTCATTAATTATGTTTACCAACAGCTTCCCAGGAGACAATAGTCCCCTAAAAGGTCAAAAAAATCCCTGGGTGAAGTAGCTCCAGCCTGAAGAAGTTAATCATTCCCTGCAATGCAGGTCTCTGGGGCCAGCACAACCACTATAGCCCCCTGAACCTGTCTGTGAGCTGGGAAGAGGTGATCCTCTCCATTCCTCCTCTTCCCTGGCAGCCCCACAGCTGTGTGTGGTTCTGCCACAGACGGGTTGTTGGGTTTTTGGCTTTAATCCAAACGATGGGAAAGTGGATTTGGCCACCCTCCAGCCACAGCAGCACATGTCCTACCTGACACCTGGGTTAACCCCTTCTCTGCCTGCACCCTGTGAGCAAAGCAGACCTCACAGGCAGCCACGATGCCCAAACCAGCTACCTGGCTGCATTTATAAACTCTGCTCTGTTTTACATTTGCTTTAAGAAACCACCAGTGCAAAGAAGCCCTCCAAATCCACAGCAGGGGTCCAAACCAAAGCCTGAACTGCAGCCAGAGGTTTGCTCATCCCAGCTGACCCCATCATGCACCCAGAGGGGACAAAATCTTTACAATGAAATCATGCACATGGCTTGAAAGAGCATCAGCTCCTGCCACAAAGCAACTACTCACTGCTCCAAAACACACCTCACCTCCAAAGCTGCCAGTGAAGGATGCCACAGTCTAGCCAAGGGAGGGAGCAAACAGCTTCCCCAAAAGCCCACAGGACACATGTCCAATGGCAAACGCCCTCAGAGATGCAATGCTGACCAAATTCAAGCCTCACGGGAGACACTGGAGGGTGGTGGAGCAGCCAAGATCATGCTGCTGAAATGGGGATAACTCAGGCATCCATTGCTATCGAGATTTACGTGATCTGTAGGACTGCCAGAGAAGCGAGAAGGTGAACACCACAATGCTGCAGAGCAACACAGCCCTGACACTCAGGTCTCCTGCAAACCCAACAGTGCCCATCATAAGCCACAACTGCCCCCCCAAAACCACACAGCAAGAAAAAACCCAAAGTGTTTTCCCCCAGCAACCTAACCAAATTAACACAAACCCTGAGCCAGAGCCAAGGCAAGCTGTGTATGATACAGTATTTTAAAACAAGAAATAAAATTGCACCATCATCCCTGATTAGCTATGTTTGGCAGAAGGATGAAGGGAGGCCTGTGCCTCTCCCATCTATGAGAGTAAGCCAAATGCATAGAAAAAAATACCTTTGGCATGCTGTCTTATTCAAAACACCTATTGTTTTGTTAATGCAAAGTAGGTGTTGTGCAAACATGATTCTCAATGGGAAGAAAATGGTGAACCTGATGCCCACCAGCCAAAACCCATTAATTTTTTCCCCAGAAAGCTTTCCCCCTCTTTGTTGATTTATGGGTGCGACGTTTTCCAGGCTGAATTGTCAAATCCTTCCCAAGAGCTGTAAACGATGTAGTGGGGTTGCACCCACTGGTGTCTACTTGCACCTGCCCCCAAAACATCTTCCAGACAGGGGGGTTGCTGTCAAGGCAAAGATGATCCTCTCTTCCCCTTCTCACCCCAGCACTTGGGGGCAGAATTCAGAATCCACAGCAGCGATTTGGACATTGCCATGTCACTGAAACCACCGGCCACTCAGCCAAAAAACCCAGAGGCAAGTTCAGATACAGTGAGGATATTTTAATTGCAGTAATGATGCAAGCAATCTTAAATTCACATTGACATCTTATAAAGAAGCCCTCAAAATGTGTACAACAGCACGAAAAAAAGGTATACATATCTATGTACCTGTGCTCGCCATTGCAAATCTCAGCAGGCACCAATGATTGCAGGATTTTACCACCTTCTCTCTTTTTCTTTTTTTTTTTTTTTTACATAACCTGAAATAAAATAATCCTATCTTCCTTTCAGTTGCCAAAAAAGACATTCTGTTCTTGGCTAAGACTTCTTACTCATCTATTTTACTGAAAACAGCTTTTGGAACAAGTACATAATGCAATGGATCAAACCCGCAGGAATTCCTCTCTGGCACCAGAACTCCCACTATCCTGGGAATACTTTCTAACAAATATTTAGCCCAGATGTGCATTCCTTTCTTTTTCTCTCCCTCTTTTTTTTTTTTTTTTTTCTTAAAGCATTAAAGTTTGGGTGGGGGGAGTGGGGAGGTGGTGGCTGTCTTAGTTGGGGGGAAGGGAATCAAATCTGCAAAGTCCCATTTCTGGCACTCAGCAAGTCGCAGGGTAAAGCCCTAATACACTGGAATGCGAGGAATTAATGTTTTAACTATCCTCCTCTTGGACGACGTCTCAACAGTAAATATTTCGAGTAATTTAGACTTAAGAAGGTTTGGCATTTGTTTAGCCAAGCACTGAGGAAGGCGACTACAGCCCCTTCCAGTGTCCAGTTAGTCCATTTATAAGAGACTGCACAAAGAGGCACCAAGGCTTTGTCCAGAAGTATGCAGAGAAGATGTTTCAGCGTTATCCTGTGGGGTGGTAGATGTGCTTTGCACCGGGCAGGCGAACACAGCACTGCAAGCAAGACAAAGGGAACTTCTCCCAGCAAGTCCAGCGGCTCTGTTTGCTTGTGCCACAACTCTCACAGTATTGCAGGAGAACACCTATGAGCAAAGAGATTCTAAATTTGGGGGTTTCTGTCAGTGGAGCATTCTAAAGAATGGAAGGATCCCAGATGTGTGCATGAGCTATTGAAAGAAAACTTCCTTCTGCAAATCAATTTGAGTAAAAAGCAAACAAACAAAAAACACCAAACAACCAAACCTCAGTGCACTCCACTATAAGTATTTATTTTCCAGTGACTTTTTGAGCCGATCTGCCAACTTTACAATCACAGCCGCCTGCCTGCAGTCCAGGAAGCCAAGGTGGACTCTTCCCAGCACACCAGGATGAGGGCTCAGGCGCCAGGAGCGAGTTAACAACTCTGCTGAGCCATGAGTCAGAGCAGCTCCTGCTCCCTCCCCCAGAGCCGCAGTGGCTGTGCAGGTCTAGCAGGAGTAAATATTAGTTTAAAAAACACCACAGCATATTTTAGCCAGGTACAGCTTCAAACACGACTTGTGGAGCAAACCTGCGGGGGTCTGGGGTCACTGCTGATTTATACGCCGCTGCTTATTGCGGGTCACGCGACCCTGATGCAAGTATCACCAAAAACTGGTGTGGAGAAGAACTTCCAGTTAGCCATCCCAGATATTTGATGTCTAACACAGTGGTGATTCCAGTGATGCCTCTAGGTTTCTTAATAATCACTGCGCTATCAACACTGATTCATTGCTCATTCATTTAACTATTTTAATTCTTTGCATATTTACTTAAGTGGTTTCCCCAGTGCCGCTGTGACAGCCTCCACGATGACAACACTTACCAACTTCGGGGCTCACCGGGACCGCCCCACTGGGACCCTCCAGG